GAGGCGGGCGGATTGCTCGAGGTCAGGAGTTCGAAACCAGCCTGAGCAAGAGCGAGACCCGGTCTCTACTATAAATAGAAAGAAATTAATTGGCCAACTAATATATATATAAATTAGCTGGGCATGGTGGTGCGTGCCTGTAGTCTCAGCTACTTGGGAGGCTGAGGCAGGAGGATCGCTTGAGCCCAGGAGTTTGAGGTTGCTGTGAGCTAGGCTGATGCCATGGCACTCATGGTAGCCTGGGCAACAAAGTAAGACTCTGTCTCAAAAAAAAAAAAAAATAAAAAAAACGATGTGTCTATATAATCATGAGTGTGTTTGTCACTAAAACTAGGGCATCAGGGTCTCTTGTCATCACCTTAGAGTCTCTGGCATCTCCCCCGGCAATCTCTGTCATGACAGGTGCTCGGTTAGTGGTGGTCTGATGCTGGGACCACGGTTATGATCATCATCTTGGCCAGAGGAGAGATCTAGAGAAGTCAAGCTAATTTCTCAGGGGTGACTCTGAACAATTAGACTGACATATCCATGGTTGTTAGTGACGAAGACAGGTGTAGAGTCTGGGTTTTCTGATATCTGCCCCAATGCCTTTTTTTAAAAAATAATATCTCTTTGCCATCTCAAAAATACTAATAAACAAACATCATCATCATTCTGGTTTGGAGAGGGACTTCCTAGTCAATGGCTTATGCTCCCCTTACTTTGAGCTGTTCCCTAGCCCTTTCAGTGTTGTGACATTGGGTCACCCTCATCCCCACTTTTTGGGGACCTCACTCCTTCATCCAGTCCTTTTATCTCCTGTATCTCAGAATCTGAGATACAGGAGATAAATATATATATGCTCAAGTCTCTACCATCTTAGAATTACAAGAACAATAAACACATCCACTTCCACCCACCCCAGTGACCACTCTATTTTTGACCGTGACCTCTACGTGTTCAAACTGATGGTGAATCTAAGTCCTTGTTTCAATGACCTCTCAGTAGTACCTAACACTCCCCTTTTCTTCTTGAAATTCCTTTGCCATTTGGTCTCTAAGACACCAATGTCTTCCTGTTTCTCCGTTAGTCTTCTATAAGCTAATTGTCCATCTCCTATTCCTTGACTGTGGTTTTCTTTCTTGACCGTCCTGTTTCCTTTCTCTACACATCTGTTTGGGGCGGTGTCATCCATGCTGAGTGTTCCGAATGCTTATTTCCTGACCTTTCTCTAAGTGATGGTGACCCCAAAACTGTGCTTCTGACTCAGACCTCTCTGTTGGGCTGCAGACTTGTGCATTTGGCGTCGTTCAGAGACGTCCACCTGGTTAGATACTCCTACAGCTCGCAGGTGCTCAAACTCGAAACGTCCAAAATGCAGTTTGTATTTTGTCCTCCAGTGTCAAACTTCTTTATGAAAGTTGCCCCCCCCCCCCCGCACAACCAGAAACCCCAGCTTCATTCTCGGATCTTCCGTTCCACATAACCCTCATGATTCTGTGATTACACATCTGTGCAATCTGACTCTTGAGTATCTCTCATATCTATCACCCTTCATTATCGACTTCCTCTCCTTCCATTCACTCTGCCGTGGCGTCTCGTCTGGCTCCCATCTTTTCTCTGGGAATGCAAACCCGACCACGTCACGCCCCCGGCTCGCCGTAACTTTCAGGGTCAAGCCCGGCCAGCTGCTCCCCCGCGCGGACTGCGCCACCGGGTGCTGGGCCCTGCAGGCCTGGCCGCACCTGTTCCCGCCTCGGTCCTTCAGGTCAGCCCCCCACACCTTTGCCCATTTGGTGTGATCTTAAAACGTCCTTCCTTTCCTGATATCTGTTCTTCCCCCACCTTCTTCACCTTACTGACTCCTGCTCATCCGTCAAAATTTAATTAAAGCCTTCCATTCCTTGGGACGGACTCCTTGTCACTCCGGTCAGGTTTCAACGTTCCCCTGGGTGCTCTCAGCCACTCTCTGGATGTCTGTGCTGGGAGACTGTGTGCTTTCATGTTAACAGCAGCGACTCTGGGACGCACACAGAATGTCCGGGGTCAAACACCAGCTCTGCCACGTTTTGGCTGTGTGATCTCGGCCAGGCAACTTACTCACCCCCTGCCTCAGTTTCCTCATTTGTCAAATGGAGATGTGAATGGTGTACCCGCTGCAGAGGGTGGTTAGGAGAATCAGTGAGACGATGCCTGTAGGAGGCCTGGGACAAGGCCTGAGGCGTGTCGAGGCTGCAGCAAGCTGAGCTGTTTTCCTTACATGGTGACTACTGACTCAGCTGCTGGCTTCACACAGCAAGCAGACAGAGCTCTGCGGGGAAGGAATTGCGCCCGGCTTGGCTGTGCTCCCTCGGCACCTAGCACTGGACCTGAGACAGACACTCAATAAATACTCCTTCAATGAATAAACATGAATAGGAAATACAAGAAATATAGTCAACATTTTTACTGCTAAAGGATGCTAATAAGGTCACCCTAATTTTTATCTGTGTGTTTTTCTGCTTGTGCATAAGATGTTGATGGCATCTCATTAACTTATTGTACAGCGACTCACTGTTCTCTGAGTCAAGAATCTTCCAGTCCTGACGGAAGGGCACGATGTCATTAATTAACGGAACTGTTATTCTGGAAAACAATCTGCAGGCGTGGACTGTGACAAAATTCTTCTGAGACACGCTCAGAGAAACAAAATGTGAATTCCTATCAGAAAGAGATCAGAGAGCCCAGCAAGCTCAAGGAGAAGAAAGGAGAGACAGTTTTAGAAAGTTTGACTTCAGAGCCACCCTTTCCTGAGCCCCCTCTGGTAGCCAGCACTGCTGTGAAGACGTCGGGTTTGCAGAGTGACTCATACACTGGGAGAGGCGGGCCTGGGACAGTTCTCTCCCCACGGGCCCAGGAATCCTGCCAGCAAAGAGTCTGAAAAATCGTGATCAATGAGGCGGCAGCAGGCCTCAGTCGTGGCCATTTTTCCTCCACGTTCTTCATGAAAACACCGCTTCTTGTTTACTTTGAAGTTTTTCTGAAATACAGAAATCTGCCTCCCCTTTCCATGAAAGGCGCCTTTGAACCTCAGTGGAGATGCTTTATAATCCCGGGCATCTGATAGCTGCCCAGATCCATGTAGGGGATCCTAAAAAGGTACTTCCACCCTTCGTGGTTATCGGCAGGCCCGGGGAGAGATCAGCCTCAAATCTTTGCCCGGAATATTTGACACGTCATTGCCCAAAGTAAACTAAATGCCAAAAAGAAGGCGAGCTAGGCGACAAAAGGAGGCTATAATTCACCCATTCTGCCACACAGTTTTCATATGGTGGAAATACTTGGGAAACTTTGAAAACATCTCTAAAGATTTCTCATAATTAGAAATTAGTGAGGTTATTCAGTGCAAGTGCTGAGTAGAAATACCTGCTATTTCTACGCTTGGTTTGTTGTCTTTCCCACTCAGGCGTAGCTTTACAAAACATGAGGGCATAAAACAAAGACGGCAATTCAAGCAATTTTATCGAACCTTATAGAATTACTCAAATAAGGAATTGCCAACTTCTCTTTTAGGCCACCAACTATTTCTAAAATATGATCCAACTAATGCAGAAGTCAAGAGTTTGAGTCAATTAATTTTAACTGAGGGAAGTGAAAACCCCTTTGTAATAACTCCAATCCATAATTCAGTAAAGAGAGGGTTTTAATTAATTAATTTTCATTCTAGGGCCAGAATATCCTCAGTCCCACTTTCAATCAGACCTGTCTCAGATCAGATCTGCAATGAATGTCCTCAGGGAAAGGAAAATTGCAATAACTACTAGGCACTGAGAGAAATGTATATAAATATCTATATTCTACTATCCTAACAACTCCACGAGTTAACATTCCCATTTTATAGATCAGGAAATTAGAATTCAAAGAGATGAAGCAATTTGCCTGAGGATTTGGGTTTGAACCCGAGAATGCTAAATCCAAAGTCTGTGCACTTTTTTTGACATAGCACAGTCTGCCATTTCTTTAGAAAAAGAATCCAGTAGAATTTCAGCAGAAATGGTTAACGGATTTGGGCTCATTCTCAGAATAGACCCAGTACCATAAGCACTCAGATGAAAGGAGACTTGCCCCCAGCCAGTCCCCCTTGATACACTAAGCACAGGCTGAGCCTTTGCGGAGGGACATGGGGTATAGACTGGTCCCCTCTTGTCTGGTTGACTCTGTGGTTTCACTTTGTTTCAACTGTCTGAGTCTGGCTTTGCAAATATTCACCTAACCTGGAAGTCTGTGGATTGCAAATTCCTACAGCTGCATTTAGGCTCTGAGGATAACAGGGCCCAGGCAAGGCAGGAATTGTGCTGCTCAAATGCAGGGAACCCCCCGCTACCTCCACAGATGGAATTCCCCAAATTGGGAGCTCCCTAGGGTGTCTGCATCCAAGGCCAGCTGAGCTGAGCCAAGCAGCATCTGCTCTGCTCTGACCCTGCCAGTGTCTTATCCTCGGCTAAATAAAAATTCAGAACTTATACTTTAGAGGGTGTGTGTGTGGCCGTGAGTTTCTCTTGGAAAGCCGCAGTGTTTCAGGGGATAGGCAGCCCTGTGGTTCTCCCAGCATCCAGAACTCACCCCTGTGCTGCTATTATTTCTGTTTTCCCTCCTGTTACTCCCCTGCTCCCTGTTTCTCAGACGATTACACACTCCTCTGCCTACTTTGACCCCATCTCCTTGGAAAACAACCACACAAAACAAGAAACCTTAAGTCTATACACTCTCCTCCCATATCACTAGGGCTGTGTGTTCTCTCTCATCTTCTTTCAATAACGCTGGTTGGGCCTGTCTGTCTGTAAGTGCCTGCCTCCCTGAGAGCGCCGGAGGACAGGGGGTCACTCGCACTCAGGTTGTGTGTCCACCTCTAGTCCCGACCCTGGGACAGAGGAAACCGCCCACGTTTGAACCCAGTGAAGTTATGTGATCAGGGCTCAGACCCAGCCCCACCCCGTGACAAAAGCGGCTACTCGAGAGTCGACAGAGAACTTTATACTCACATTTCAGCTCCAGCTTGATGAAATCTGTGTTCCCCATATTTTCAAGAAACACTCCCCGGGGAGTTAGTGTTTTGAAGTAGAAAGAAATGTCCGCGCTGGTCTCCCCTTGGAAAGTAGAGAAGTGCAGGTAGGAGGACGCGTTGGGGAAAGAGGCGGCATTCCAGTAATTCCCTGTGGGGGGAAGAAAAGACCAGGTTGACTCACACCCTGATCATGCCAGTTATGCAAAAGCTCTCCCTTTTTTGAGTTTAGTAAATTTCCATTTATTAAACTCAAACTCTCCATTGGCAATAGCTCTTGTGTCCTCTCATCCTGTTGAACAACATTGTACCAAATCTTTACAGACCTACCTTTGACTTTCCAAAAGTTATATCTGTATGTGCATCTAATATTTTATTTATGTATATTAATTTTATTAGCATGTATATAAAATATTTTGAGTATTAATAAGCAAATTTATATAAAATTAATATTGATATATAATTCATATAAAACATATACAAATAAAACTATTTTTAATGCACATAAAGTATATTTTATTAAAGATTGGCCACTGGGGTTCCTCCCAAGGAGTGCTGGGGGGACTCTAGGAGTAAATGGCAACAGAGATGAGAAGTGAGAAAAGCCCCTGGTGTTCTGGACTCCTGCATTTCTACTGGCGGCTTTGGACTGGGGCAAGAAGCATATGAGCTAGACCTAAGGATGATAGGAGAGGAAGAGAGTTTTTGGTATTCTGCTCTTGCTTCTCACCCACTTTTGCCTTGGAATAACCAGTGCCCGCCCCAGCGTCAGCAGACACCTGGCGCAGGTGCCTCAGGAGAACCAATGAGGGCGCAGAAGCCCTGCGGAGGTGAGTTGCTGAGAACAAAGCAGAACTGACCAGGCCGGGCCAGGGCGGTGGTTTCCTCATCTCTCCTGCTCCAAACTCTGGGACTGAGTCGCTACAAAGGAAGTGTCTCCTTCCCAACCACTTCCTCCCTGGGGACTCCAGGTAAGCTCTGACTTGCGGCATTGTTTTGCGGGGCGGGGAGGGATGAGCTGAGCCCACGTGAGGGTCTCAATCAGCATCCACCCCGAGCCCTTGGAGAAGACATACATATACCCGCCACCCTCCACCCCTCCCCACTCATTGCCTGGCAGGGCAGCCAGGGTTCCCAGGAGACTAGCAGTTCATGGGACGAAAGCTAGATTACTAGCTTTACTAGATTACTAGCTTTACTAAATTACTAGACACTAAGCTAGATTACTCAGATTCCATTAGGACAGATGGACTAAGAATTTAATATGAGACCAGGTGCTGGCTGTCAAGTTCATCGCCAGGGTAGAAATTTCTTTCTACCGCACACATTTCTGAGTACATTTACTATCGCAACTAACGACTAAGATATATGGGCATGTTTTAAAGCAGTTACTAAAGCCTTTAGCTCTGATACTAAACCCGAAATATATGTTTTTTTTTAAAAAATGACATTTGCTATATCTTTCCTCCAAAGAGCACAATGAATCAACAGAGTGCACTCCATTAGTTTCTATTCATACACAAACTATATTTTTTCCTTCCTTTTATGCAAAAACTATACACGTATACAACATTCAATTGAACTACTCTTTTTAAATAAAAGTAACTTTGTGTTGGTCCTGCTATGCTCCAGTCATAATTTTAAATTAAACATACAATATTGCTATACGCTAAGATATTAAAATGCCTTTCTATTTAATTAATGCTATTTGTGTTTGTTCTTAGAGACATCTAGGACATAGTGATGTCTAGGTTAAGTGTGTGTCATGTTAAAAGATAACCTTAGGCACTTTAAAATGGTAGCAAGTTTATTTGAGCATTCAGAGATTTATCTATCTGGCAAGATGAGACCACAAGGGGTTCCTGGCTCCCCTGGTCGGGGGAGGAAACATTTATAAGACGTTTGTGGAAGCAAGACTAAGAAAGGTTTGACTGACTAACGTGGAAAGCCCCTAGCTTGAGTCCCTTAGTGGTTTCGGACCTGTTAAGCTTAAGTTTCGTTTTACTATTTACATTGCAGTGGGTTATGGTTTGCTTACGTAGGCATCCAAGGCCTTGGAGCATCTCAGACAAATGGCCTGCCCATTAATTATTTTAGCAGGTAATACGCAACCAGGAAGTCAGTGCAGAATATGTTTGCAAATATCTTAGTTAAAGCAAAAACAGTGGTGGTGGGAGGTTTGGGGGAAACTACTTCTTAAGTAGTTCTTAATACTTAATACTACTTCTTAATAAACTACTACTTAAGGTGTCCTAAAAGACAGTCACAAGCTATTTAAAAAAAACCAAAAAAACAAAACTACAAAATCATCTCCTACCTTTCAGTAGGAGAAAAATAGGCTAGTCCCTTCTCGGGAAGGAGAATATTGCACGATACTGGGTAGGATAATACTGGAAAAGAAAAGTTCTTCCCTACTGCTGAAGCTGTTGTCACCTGAGGGTGACCTCATCCCAGCTCAACACCTGGGTTAGTACACAGTGAAAGGAGTTCAGACTCACTTCCTCCACCAGCCACCTGAGCATGCAGGACTCTTACCGAAAACCCAAGTCAAACCAAGAGTTGCAACCCTCCCACCCATCTGAGAGTCCCAAAGCTGGGAGGGAGTGAAGAGGAGACCCAGGGCTAGAAGGGTTCGGCTTACCCTAATTGGTAAGAGCCCTTTAACCACCTAAGAGCCTGAACGGATCAAAGTCCCCAGACAGACTGCAGCCTTGAACAAAGCAATTCTGTCTCTTTAGGCTGAATCCCCAGGACATGAATGCAATTAACATTTTAAAGTTTCAATCCGATCAAGTACATTCTTATTTTTTGAGGCAGTGATGTATTAGCAGAGGGCAGTTGTGTAAAATGATTCCAGAAAAAGGAAAGCTAAAAGTAAAACATGTCAGTATTTATTTGAGGTCCAGGACTGTTATTCAGACAGAAATATCCCCAGAGAGGAGAAGGGCAGTTCAGCCAGTTATTCTAGTTTGATGAAATATCTCTGTAGACCGCAATCCCATTTATTCTAATTCTACGCTCACTAAGCAACTCCAGCCTAATTGGGTCTCTGAAATAGACTTGATTCATGGGGAAATCAGGCCTTGTGCAAGTGGCATTTACCAGTCTCCTGGAAACATCTGAATTATCACAGGATACCTTTGGAGTTGACACTTGGGAGTTGTCCCAAATCTCTGGATGGATTTATTAAATCCAGATTCTTTGCCAGCAACAGTGGGAGGACTGTTGGACGCCACTCTGGACTAGACTGGCGGCAGCAAAGTTGAGGTGTCTACTCAGGAGGCACTAGGGGGATCCACTAGGGCTGTGAACTAAAATAAAATCTTAAGCCTTCCTCCCCAACTGACTGAATGGACCCTCTCTTGGCCAACTGGACTCCAAAAAACCCTAAAGCTGAGTTGCTGGCCATGAGAAGGGAGGTCAGACACACTTCATCATACTCCCTCCCTTTTTGGAGCTATCCTTGGTGATACTGAGATGCTAAGTTACTAAGAGGCCTAAGGCTACATAAGGCAACGCTTAAACCACACCTGCAGGCCATCAATTTACTTAACAGATCACTTGAGCTTTGGTAAATGCCCTACTGGTGGCTTGTCTTTGATTCATTGATATCCTTATCTTAAATTAAAACATGCCAAGCCTTTAGACAAAGCTTCCTTTCTTTAACCAATTACAAATCAAACAATCTTGAAACTTACCTACCCATCTCCTGTAATCTCCTCCCACCTCCCACCAAATGTCCCGCCTTTTCTGGCCAAACCCATGTACACCCTCCAAGTATTGATCCAGGGTCTTATGTGTAATTCCTGTCTCCATGAACTCCACGAATGCATAAAACCAAACTGTGACCCAGCTGGGGCGGGGGGAGCACATTTTCTCAGGACCTCTTGAGACCATGTGCTCTGGGCGGGTCACATACATTCAGCTCAGCATAAACCTCTTTATTTTACAGAGTTTGGGTTTTTTTTTTCCATTAACAGGGCACAGGCAGAGGGCACTAGAACTTCTGTTTTTATTTATTGTTAAAAGCTCCTCCTATTAAATATTTTAATTACACTTGATAATGTACACACTACACGAATACAGTGGTATGTGGAGAGAATTTATAAGCAGACATGTGTAGTGGGATGTGGTCGTAAAGGCCTTTAATGAGTGGGGTAAATATTAAAAAGTGTTGATGTTTTTGTCGCCCTCTCTGAACCCCGTTCTGAGGAATCTGTTGCCCAGTCTCTGAGATTTTTGATTGCAACAAAATAACAAGAGTGCTTTCGCCAGTGCTTATTGCACTTCATGATGCGAGGAGCTTATAGCAGTATTATTGTTTGTTTATATTGTTCCCAGCTGATCATAAGCTCCATCAAAGCTGGTATGAAACCATTAAACCTCTGTAACCTTTGGCCTCAGAATATAGTCAGTACTCGTAAATAATTATTAAATCAATGGATAAATGATCAGTTCCCCCTCTCATTTGTATCCATTTCCACTCCACATGCAAAGTCCTTGTGGGACAAAATGTGCTTTACGGTAACCTGAGTATTAAAGGGATGCTAAATAAATATAAATAAAAGCTAATGCTGCTTTAGCACCTACTGATAACTGGATGCTGCTTCCACCAGCAAACGGTAATTTTCCTTATCCAGGACTTCCTTTCTATTATTCCCTTGAGACTTCGTTGAACAATGCCGTGCATTTGCAAGACTGATGGTATCATAATCTTAAGGTTATTGAAATAGCTGTAATTTGTACTTGCCATCAAGTCAGTTCTATGGAGGGTAAAGCGACAATGGATGAGAGTCCAGGTGGGAAATGAGAGAGTCGCTGTATGGCAAGGACGAGCCAGAGCAGGTGGCCAGACCTGGCCAGTGTGGATAGGCTGAAGGGGGCAAAGTTGGAAACTGAGAGGGAAGGTATGAAGCAGAACAGAAGTTAAGTATCTGAAGGCCGGGCACAGTGGCTCACGCCTTTAATCTTAGCACTCTGGCAGGCCGAGGCGGGCGGATTGCTCGAGGTCAGGAGTTTGAAACCAGCCTGAGCAAGAGCCAGATCCCGTCTCTACTACAAATAGAAATCAATTAATTGGCCAACTAATATATATATATATATATATATATATATATATATAGAAAAAATTAGCTGGGCATGGTGGCACAT